TAATAGGATGAAATTTAATAATGAAAAGTGCAAGGTCTTGCATTTAGGGATTAATAACAAGAATTTTAGTTATAAGCTGGGGACGCATCAATTAGAAGTAACGGAGGAGGAGAAGGACCTTGGAGTATTGGTTGACTGCAGGATGATTGAGCCACCAATGTGATATGGCCGTGAAAAAAGCTAATGTGATCTTGGGATCCATTAGGCGAGATATTTCCAGTAGAGATAAGGAGGTGTTAGTACTGTTATACAAGGCACTGGTGAGACCTCCATCTAGAATACTGTGTGTGGTTCTGGTCTCCCATGTTTAAGAAGGATGAATTCAAACTGGAACAGGTAGAGAGAAGGGCTACTAGGATGATCCGAGGAATGGAAAGCCTGTTTTATGAAAGGAGACTCAAGGAGCTTGCCTTGTTTAGCCTAACCAAAAGAAGGCTGAGGGGAGATATGATTGCTCTCTATAAATATATCAGAGGGATAAATACCAGGGAGGGAGAGGAATTATTTAAGCTCAGTACCAATGTGGACACAAGAACAAATGGATATAAACTGGCCATCAGGAAGTTTAGACTTGAAATTAGATAAGGTTTCTAACCATCAGAGGACTGAAGTTCTGGAACAGCCTTCCAAGGGAAGCAGTGGGGGCAAAAGATCTATCTGGCTTTAAGATTAAACTCAATAAGTTTATGGAGGAGATGGTATGATGGGATAACATGATTTTGGCAATTAATTGATCTTTAACTATTCATGGTAAATAGGCCCAACGGCCTGTGATGGGATGTTAGATGTGGTGGGATCTGAGTTACTACAGAGTATTCTTTCCTGGGTATCTGTGTGCTGAATCTTGCCCACGTGCTCAGGGTTCAGCTGATCGCCATATTTGGGGTCGGGAAGGAATTTTCCTCCATGGCAGATAGGAAGAGACCCTGGGGTTTTTCACTTTCCTCTGCAGCATGGGGCATGGGTCACTTGCTGGAGGATTCTCTGCACCTTGAAGTCTTTAAACCATGATTTGAGGACTTCAGTAAGCTCAGACATAGGTGAGAGGTCTATTGCAGGAATGGGTGGATGAGATTCTGTGGCCTGCATTGTGCAAGAGGTCAGACTTGATGATCATAATGGTCCCTTCTGACCTTAATGTGTATGAGTCTGAATGTGTGCTGCAAGCTAAAGGAATGATTGTCTGGCTAATGGACCACTTTGTCAATGATCTAGTAAGATGTAGTTTTCCTGTATCATCTTAAACACTCTCTTCCTTGGCTCCCTACTCACGAGTTCCCATTGTATTTAGTTGACTTGCAACTGATGAAGAAAAAGGCTAGATATCAGGCAGTCTCTTGGTCTGAATTCTATCAGTTGCTGCATAATGAGATTTTGAAATCTTATACCAGGCCTGTGGCGGAAGGATGCAGAGAAGTTTCTTCACATCTAACATCAGCAAAGTCACAGTCAGCGAAACTGTTTTGTGTGGTTAATAACCTGATTAATCCAGGCTGCAGTCAGTGATCGAGTGATATTTCTTCACAGCTGTCTGGCAGATAAATGCTCAGATTAGATTTGAAGTGAACTTCTATCCTCCCTGGTGATGGAATTGGCTCTTTTGAGCGACGGGAGAGAGAAGATAGTTTTTGAGTCATTGCTCTGAAGGGACCAATGGGGCTCTGTTCTGTCATCCCTCTTGTTCATTGCTAGTGAAAAGTTTCATTTGCAGTGTATTCAGTATGCTAGGTGGCACCCACCTCTACATGCTTCTGGGTAGTTGATTAGCAACAGTTGTCAAGGTAGCTTGTTAAACATTTGAGTTTGGCAAGACTTCACTTTAGTTACCTGTGGTGTCGTCATGCGTAGGCTGAATCACAATATAATGTGTCCTACATGAAAGCTACACCTTCAAACTATCCAGAAACTACACTTATAGCTGAAAGAAAAGGAGTACTTGTGGCACCTTAGAGACTAACAAATTTATTTGGGCATAAGCTTTTGTGAGCTACAGCTCACTTCATCGGATGAATGAGGCAGTCAGCTTATTAAGCAATATTATATTCAAGGAGTGCATCACACATGTGTTTTGTGGTGTGCTGTCTGCCAGTTGGTTTCAAGATGAAGTTCTAAGGTGGATGTGACCTATAAAATCCTAATCAGTTTGCACATCTGAAAGATTCACTTTATCCCTTGTGGTACCATGGTGGTTGTACTTGTCTAAGGCACTTAAGCTAACATTTTCCCTCACCTTTGTTCACCAGTGTCTGGATTTGCTGATCTTGTTTTCTCAGATTTTTCCTGGGGCGACGGAGTAGGGAAGGTTGTGACGGGCTTAATTTTTTTTATGTTGAATGTGCTTAGAGATCAAAAAATGCATATATGGCAAAGTCTGAATACACCTTGATTATGTTGTAATGCTTTGTGCACTTGCTAACCAGTTACTTGGCATGGACTTTATCTTAGGTTTATAAAGCAGTTTCGCACTTCAATAACTTTATTAGCAATTTATTTTATTACTTAAGAGTAAATGGGTGATGGTCATTTTCCTTTGACCTCAGTTATATCACAAAGCTGAAGAAAGAGGTGAAGCAGAACTTGTCAAGTGTAACCAGGGAAACAGTGCCAGAGCTGGCATGCTGGTGAAGGTTCAAGGTGACTTTGAGCCACTTGTCAAGATTCTGTCACCAAATTAAAGGGAGGATTGGGATGATTTCCTGACGCTGGTGCTTTTCACTTCATTTTTGAATATTGCTCCATCATCCCTAACAGACCTGGCTTATCTTTCAACCTCCTTTAAAAAAACAAATCTTCTTCAGGAGTAAATTTTATTGCCTTTTGAATGGAGCTAATTGTGCTGGATGGCAAGTATTTTCAGAAACACCCAGAGGAGTACAGCCTGGCACCCATTAGATCAGGGGTGGGCAAAGTTTTTGGCCCGAGGGCCACAGCTGGGAATAGAAATTGTATGGTGGGTCATGAATGCTCACAAAATTGGGGTTGGGGTGCAGGAGGGGGTGAGGGCCCTGGTTGGGGGTGCAGGCTCTGGGTTGGAGCCAGAAATTAGTTCAGGGTTTGGGAGAAATCTCCGGGCTAGGGAAGGGGAGTGGGGTGTCATGGGGGGGGGGGGAAGAGCTTCCGCTGGGGGTGCAGGCTTATGGGTGGGGCTGGGGATGAGGAGGGTGCTTTGGGCTGGGACCGAGGAGTTCGGAGGGTGAGTGGATGATTAGGGCTGAGGCAGGGGTTTGGGGTGCAGGAAGGGGTGCAGGCTCTGGCTGGGAGTGTGGGCTCTGGGGTGGGGCTGGACATGAGGTGTTTGGGGTACAGGAGGGTGCTCCAGGCTGGGATCGAGGGGTTTGGAGCGTGGGAGGGGAACAGGGCTGGGGCAGGAGGTTGGTGAATGGGGAGAGGCTCAGGGGTGCAGGCTTCGGGCGGCGCTTACCTCAAGCGGCTCCCAGAAGCAGCGGCATGTCCCTTCTCCAGTTCCTATGCGGAGGCATGGCCAAGTGGCTCTGCACGCTGTCCAGTCCCTAGGCACGGCGCCTGCAGCTCCCATTGGAGTACTGGAGGTGGCCATTGGAGTGCGTAGGAGCTGCAGGGGGGCCATGCCGCTGCTTTTTGGAGCTGTGTGAAGTGGCCCCCAACCCTGTTCTCTGGCTGGAGCGGGGCAAGCCCCAGTCCCTGCTCCCCAGCAGGAGCTCGAGGGCTGGCTTAAAACAGCTGGTGGGCCAGATCCAGCCCCTAGGCTGTAGTTTGCCCACCCCTGCATTAGATCATTGCCATCTTCAAATTACAGAAGTTGAAAGTTGTCATTATACCCCATATAATTTGGATTTAACAAAATACGGTATAAATTCTGGTTAATAAGTGCGCTTCATAGAGGTTTGTTTGCCCAGTGATAGTGCTTCCTTTCTTGGTTTTGGGGAAAAGTTCTTGTTCAAAAGGAAAACAAACACTTCGATTTCCCAGTCCCTTACTCTGTCTGTCTTACACCTGTGATATGGCCTTTTTGTAGACCTAGTGGGAGGGGGACTCTTATTGAAATGATGACAGGACATCAGTGGGTTACTATGGGAGCACATTGAAGAAACTTCGCTTAATGTGACTGTCTGCATAAACTGATTATTTTTGTATTTATTCTTATAATAGCCATTGATTTAGTTCTGAGTGAAAAGAAGGCATTTTGTAACATTTCTGTTCTGATTTTTGTATTTGAACAAACCTGTATCTTTTTCTTCAGTAGGTTTTCCAACATGTGGGAAAGGTGCATTGTAACTATTTATAGCATATGTATCTGCTATGAGTCCGGTTACTTTTTAAATAGGGATACAAGCCCATTAACAAATTCTTTACTAAGAGAATTTGATGGTAGGTCTAAGGCCTGTGTTTCAGGCTTACTGCCCTGGAATTTGACATAAAGGACCTGCTTTGCTAGCTCGGACAGTTAGAGATTCTCTTTACCCTCACTTCCTTATAGCTGACCATAGCATTTTCTTTTCTCTGTTGCTACTGCCTGAGTCTGATTTGATCACTGGTGTCTTTCCCCATCCTACACTGCTGTGACCAGCCTCTAACTTTCTTTTAAGTGACACATTAATCCCAGGAATTTCACATAAATTTAGTTATTGCATCAACATTGTAGTATGTTTCTAATAGATAGAATATGACCCCTGCAAAGATGGTGATTTCTCAGAAGCTCTTAAAAAAAAAAGAGAGAATTTATTAAGGAGTTACAGTAATACTGAAAGATATATACGTGAAACAATTATTTTAAAAATTACCAATATACCAATGAAATGTACATAGGAAGAGTGCCTTCGTTTACAAAACTTAAATCATACAAACTACTAATATAGCCATTATTCTTTTTAGCTATTTCCTGCCAAATGAAAGTTCATATGAATTAAATTAGTTCTCTGTAGAAAACATACATTTCAATAAATGTACCATAATTATTTTAATATGATTTCATTATACTAAAAGTGTATAAATATTCTGATTTTATTTCATTTTTCATTTAGGTTGAAGATTGTAAAAATTTCTTTTAAGTGCAAACAGTTTTTTATTCAACTTAGGAGAGACTTGGTGAGTACTCATCTTAAAATTTGGTGGTCTGAAAAATAACAGCAATGAAATTTCCCCATAAAGAAAAGTCTGCATTATCCTTTTCCGGTTATGTTGATTCCGTGTCTTTACCTATAATAAAAAAATTCAGTTCTACCAGCTTTCTACATAATTCGGTAATTATCCAAAGGGCAATTAGTCTATTTCTGGTTGTAATTTGTTTTGATTGAGTTGTCTTAAATATTAGAAGATTTTTAATTCTGTATATGTAGACTGGCTAAAATCAGCTGCTCTTAAATCAGTAAGAAAATAAAACATGGTCTTAGTTTTAATTTTGGTTTGAGCAGAAATCAAGTTAAATTGAAGTTAAACATAATGCTTGATATTTATTTGAAGGTTTTTGACTTTGTAAGTAAACTTTTAGTTAAATATGCTGTTTTTTATTTATATTTGTCTGACTTTATTGACATAGACTGGCTTTGTCCCATTTAAATGGAAAATTGATGACGATATCTTATATAATTCCAGGCAGCATAATATATAAATAGTGCTGCTTTTAGAGACTTCTAACTTTTTTGAAATATGTCCGAAAAGTTATTCAAGTTTTCTATAAAGAATAAGTATTTTGCTGATTATGGTTATTTGACATCTGTAATGCAATGCCATAGGACTGCGTGATACAGAACTCCATGAGTAATGACCTCGCCCATGCCTCAAAGAGTTTACTGTCTGAACTGATAAGACAGGTCACTGAGGAAGAGAATAGGCATAGGAAATGGAAATACATAGTTCTTCTTTAAGTGATGGTCCTTATTGTATTCCACTGCACATATGTCGTGCACCCAGAACCAGAGCTTTTCAAAGTAGTATTGCTTGGTGGTCCGCGCATACGTCCTTGTGTTGCCTTGTGGTTTCTTCAGTGCCTTCTCACCGCTGGATGGTCTGAGTCAGAGCATCTGCTCACCTCTTGTTCTTAGTGATGCATTTTCAAAATATTTTACAAAAACTGTTCTTATTTTCGTTCATAGTTAGGATTTTATTGTTTTTCATTGTACTTTGATAATTCCTAGCAGTTTTTATAAATAAGGACCTTGGATGCCGCTCTGGTGGTTTTTCCCATCAAACAAATCCCTCTTTCACCCCCACTTCCTGCCAAGATCCTGGGTCTGGGTACTGGATTATGCCAAAGACACCGGGATTCAAAGTCTGTGCTTCCTGCCCTTGCTCATTTTCCTTCAGTGACAAACATCAATGCTGTTCGTACTGTTTGGGGAAAGTCCACATTGCCTCCAGGTGCAGTATCTGCACCTCCTTCCCCTGTACCTGGGAAGGCCAATCTCTCTGCCTCAAGAAACACCTCATGGACGTAACTGTGGTCTTGAAGTCGGATCCTGGCCACAGAACCCCCCCATACATTGGCCTGAGCATTCCAAGTGTGGTACCACGGAGCCTCTGTCCTGCTGCTACCAAAGCTACAGACCCTGTGTCGGGGCCTTGCCATGAGCCATGGAAGCATGCGTATAAGCATGGCAGTAAGTCTTCATCTAAATCCAAGGAGGACACTGCGTCATCCATGACACTCCATCATCCACGGAGGAGCTACACGCTCCAAGGCGCACAAGAGTGATAAGAGGCTACACCGCTCACCAGATCCACTGATGCTGTATCCCTCCTGCCTCAGCTCTGCCAGTGTCCCGTGAATTGCTGGTCCTGAGACCACGCCTCTTTTACCAGTTCCAGTCCCGTCAATAAACAGGGTACTATAGATTCCAGGGAAAAATCGGAAGCACTCCTGACCTCACAAACTGTTAGCCTTGGAAGGAGTGTGGTCTCCACATGTTCTGGTGCACTCACCTCTGCAGAGGGCTCCATCTCTTGCATTACATTTACCTCCTGCTGGCCATACCTTTCTAATGCATCCTGTTCTGACGGCTCCGTCAGCACCGCCATTCACGCAAGACTCCGAGGACCAGGATGTTTGGCACAGTCTTCCCGCTTCTGTTCTGGAAACTCAACTACCTGATGGTTCCGATGGCTCTATGACAGTTTCCTCCTTTGCCATACCCAAGAAGCTGTTATCTGGCTCTTTGGGCACAAGTACAACAACAGCAGGATCAACTGAGTTGGCCACATTGGAGCTCGTGGCCCAAATATTGGCCTTAGGAACAATCTCATTCAGCTTGGGAGAACTTCCCTGTTTCACAGTCCAACCCTTCATCCAACAGATATTCGGAAATGGGTTTAGACGGTGCACCAATCAGCCCAGCTCCGATGGTTCCAGTGGATCCAGAGAGATTCCCTTTGTGGTCTTCAGATACAGCTGTCTCACTGACACCTTCTTCCCTGCTAGCTAGCTGTTGTCAGTTTCAAAAACTCCTATGTAGAATAGCCAATGCTCTTGAGATGCCACTGGAAGAGATGCAGGATAGTCCATGCCAGTTACTAGACATTCTGCACGTATCGGCATTGGTAAGGGTGGTCTTACCAATCAGTGATGTCATTATTCAACTGGTACGCACCATGTAGCATACCCTGGCCACGACTGCACCGACCCCAAAGGAGGCTGAGAAAAGGTACTATGCCCCTGCCACCCCTGCAAAGGGTCAGAATTTTTATTGTCGCACCCTCCACCTAACTCTTTGGTAATAGAAGCAGTGTCAGAGCAGACCAAACAACACCCATGCTCCACCTCAGCAGACAGGGTGGTAAAAGACTGAACCTCATGGGTTGAACGGTCTTCTCCTTGGCAGGACTACAATTCTGGATCTCTAATTACTTGGTACTGATGGCCAAGCATGACATGGATGGAGGAATTTGCAGATAAGCTATCTCAGCAAGATCGTACTCTATTCCAAGAGATTTTACAGGGATGCAAGTTGGTTGTCAGGTCCATACTTCAGGCTGCAGTTGATTCAGCAGACACATCCTCGTGTGTATTGGCGACTGGAATTGTCGTGAGGAGGGAATCCTGGTTACACTCCTCAGGTTTCCCTAGAGAGGTGCAGAACACAGTCGAGGACCTTCCCTTTGACGAATCACACCTCTTCAACCAGAAAACTGATGATTCCTTACACGCCGTAAAAGACTCTAGAGCCATCTTATTATCCTTGGGCTTATATACACCAGCACCAAAAAGAAAATTTTATTGTCCACCACCAGCCCAAAACTATAAAACTCCTCCCTTCTACCACTAACGGGCCTACAAACCTCCTCAGTAGCGCCCTAAGGCACATAGAGCCCATCCACCTGTTCCAGCAATGCAGACTTCTGCACAACACACTCAGTCATTGTGAAAATGGTGTTTCTGAGTGCACCTAGAGAGCCATCAGCCACTCCGTACACCAACACTCCTACCCTCCACGCCTTTTTGTGGGTGGTCTCAAACTCTTTCTACCAGCTTGGAGAGCTAGAACAATGGACAAGTGGGTCTTGGACATCATTCAACACTGCTACCCCATAGAGTTTGACTGCGCCTCTATGTCTCCCACCCTGACCCCCCTGCTCTAGCGATCCCTCTCATTGACAGTGTTCTTACCCTAGAGGTGGGCTCCCTCCTACAGAGAGGAGCAATGGAGTCCATACCTGCAGCCTTTCGGGGCGCAGGGTTCTATTCCAACTATTTCCTGGTACCCAAGAAGAAAGGGGATGTAGACCAATCTTGTATCTCCAACACCTCACCCGCTCGATTTGCAAGTGAAAATTCTATATGGTCATGCTTGCAACTGTCATTGCCTCACTAGAAAAAGGCATGTGGTTTATGGCTCTCAACATGCAAGACACCTACATCCGTATCAACATACATCAGACCCACAGAAGGCTCCTGAGGTTCAAAGCAGGGCATCAATACTTCCAATACAGGATTCTCCCATTTGGACACACCACTGCCCAACAAATTTTTACAAAGGTTTTCTCTGGGGGTAGCAGCTCACCTACAACATCGGGGAATCCTTTCTTTTCCATACCTGGACGACTGACTGCTGGCAGCACAGTCCAAAGAGGAAGCTCAAGCATTGACATCCCAGCTTCTTCTCTGCTCCTCACTAGGAGTTAACAGCAACATGGAAAAATCAACTTTGCACCCTACTTGGTCCCTGGAATTTATAGGAGTGTGCATCAATGCGATCTCTGCACGAGCATATCTGCCACGGCAGATTCCAGAGCCTACTGGACCAAATAGCCCTGATAACCTCCAGCCCTTCGGTCTCAGCCAGGACCTGCCTCTCCATCCTAGGGCACATGGTGGCGTGCTCATACGTTACACCCTTTGCCCGCCTGCACCTTATCAGGCCAAATGGATACGCTTCACCTGCTGGGTCGAACAGCAAGGTCTTACCCCTGAATCTGTGGGCATCTCATATCTCCTCCACGTGAACATCTTAGGACTTGCTCCCAGCTCTATCAGAGTGGATGCAGCCACCATTAGTGCCTTCCATCCTTCTGTGGAAGGTCAGTTGATTTTTACCCATCTCTTGGCCTCCTGCACTCTCTGTCCTCTCCGGAAAGATCACTTTCCTTGTTGCCATTACCTCAGCAAGGATGATTGGTGAGCTGGGAGCCATGATGGCAAAAAACCCCTTTCACCATGTTCCATAAGGACAGGATCTCACTACAACTGCATCCCAAGTTTCGGCCAAAGGTCGTTTCACAATTCCACCTCAACTAACCCATACACCCACCTACCTTCTTTCCAAAACTACATGCCTCGAACGAGGAATGGCGGCTTCATTCCCTCAGTGTGCATAGGGCCCTGGCCTTTTATCTACAAAGGACAAAGCCAATCTGGAACTCTCCCAAACTATTTGTTACCATACTGGAGAGAATTAAAGGACAGGCCATTTCCACCCAGAGAATCTGTAAGTGGGTCTCAGGGTGCATTATGCGCTGCTATCACTTGTCAGGGCTCTCCTCACCAGATGGGATATGAGCCCATTCCACGAGAGTGCAAGTATCAACAACAGCTGCATTACACAACATGCCCCTTGTGGAAATACATAAGGCGGCCACATGGAGTTCAGAACACA